GACGGATCCCAGCTGGAAGCAGCTCCATCCCCACCACTCTCTGGGCCCAGCACTGATCCCTGGGGACACCACTGGCCGCCAACGCACTGAGGGAGCTCTGAGTGTTGTTCCATTATCAAGTCCAGCCTTGCCAGTGCTGCTTTAAGCTCAGCTCTGGGCTCTCCTGGGCTGAGCCTTGCCCTGCTGTCCCCCCAAATCCAGGTGCATGATGGACAGCGACGACGAGGTGCGGGACAGAGCCACCTTCTACCTGAATGTGCTGCAGCAGAGGCAGCTGGCCCTGAACGCCGCCTACATCTTCAACGGTCAGTGAGAGGAACAAAACAAGTTCTGAGCTCTTCTTTCACGGGTTTATTCTGGTTTTAGCCCTTGCTGAGAACGGCAGAGTCAGCAAAGCGTGGGGTGGATTGGCTGGGAAACGGGGGCGGGAGTCTGAGCTGGGCTTTTCTCACTGACTGGGCCTTCACCTCGGGCGGGTTTCTTGACCTTTGCTCAGTCTTTTTTTTCCGTGACAAAACAAGGAGAACACGTCTTGCTGCCAGCCTTGGCTGTAAAATTGCTTTACTATCTCTAACTGGAAGTTCACGGGAGCAGAGTGACACGTTTGAGATCCTCGCTGCGTGACTTTGCTCGAGGCAAATGTTTACCCTTGCCAGCTTTGTGTCACCTCCAGAGCAGGTTGTTTTATCCTGTCCAGTGTCTCCAAGTGCTCTGTGTGTGTTTGTCACCGGGAAAAGAGCCTTTGTCACCCCTCTGGCCCTGTTCCTGCTCTTCACACCGAGTTTTCCTGCCTTTTTTTTGCCTTGCAGGGTTGACAGTGTCGGTCCCTGGGATGGAGAAGGCCCTGCACCAATACACCCTGGAGCCCTCAGACAAACCCTTTGACATGAAAACAGTCCCTCTGGCCACGGCCCCCATCTTCGAGCAGAAAGCAGGTACCACTTTAGGCTGGGCTTAGGCAGGGTGTAGGCCCAGCTCAGAGCCTTCAGGGTGTTGTTGTTCTCCTGATCTCATTATCAGAGGCAAGTCCATGCATAATCAGGGTTTATTAGTTCACAGCCTTTGGAAAAACTCCCTTCCAGAAGTGCTGAGTCACTTCCCTGGCTTTCTTCCATGTCCTTTTGCACAACTCCTTTTGCATTCTGACTTTGCACGGTGTTTTAAGAAAAGCTTTGTGGCTTTTTTTTTTCCACCCCCTTTTCCTCCTCCTTCTGTTTTTTTACCGGGCTTAAATGTGGTTTATTTCTCTTCTTTAAAATCCAATATTTCCTCACAAAAAAAAAAAAAAAAAAAGGATATTTCAGTGTGAGAGAGGACCTGGGGTAGAAGTGCTTTGCAGCAGGACATGTGGGAATCCAACAGGTTAAGGAATCTTTGGTGGGGCTATGGCAGAGTTTTGGTGTAGCTGAGAGCACAAAGCCTTTGTTTTTTCTTCCCAGAGATTGCCCTGGTGACCAACAAACCTGAGAAAGTGGCTCCTTCACGCCAGGATATATTTCAAGGTAGGAGAAGATCAGTGAGTTTCCAGAACTTTCCGACAGGAGAGCTGGAGAGGGACTGGGGACAAGGCATGGAGGGACAGGACACAGGGAATGGCTTCCCAGTGCCAGAGGGCAGGGTCAGATGGGATATTGGGAAGGAATTGCTGGCTGGGAGGGTGGGGAGGGGCTGGAATGGATTTCCCAGAGAAGCTGTGGCTGCCCCTGGATCCCTGGAAGTGTCCAAGGTCACGTTGGAGCAACCTGGGATAGCGGGAGGTGTCCCTGCCCATGGAACTGGGTGATCCTTCAGTTCCCTTCCCTCGCAAACCACTCTGTGATTCCATGATCCAGCTTTTTCCAACCTCCAGCTCACACAACCCTTGCTCTCCTCTCTCTCTCCATTTCCCCAGGAGCCCTCAGGAGGCTCTTCCCACCCCCAGGAGATCTCAGGGAAGGGCTTCCCACTGCCAGAGGGCAGGGATAGATGGGATATTGGGAAGGAATTGCTGGCTGGGAGGGTGGGGAGGGGCTGGAATGGATTTCCCAGAGAAGCTCTGGCTACCCCTGGATCCCTGGAAGTGTCCAAGGCCAGGCTGGAGCAACCTGGGATAGTGGAAGATGTCCCTGCCTTCAGATGATCTTTCAGTTCCCTTCCAACCCAAACCATTCCTTGATCCTGTGAAGCGTTGGGATGATCCCCACCGGCGGGAGCAGTGGACAATCCCATCACTTAACCTTCTTCTCCTCCTCCCTCCCCAGAACAACTGGCAGCCATCCCAGAATTCCAGAGCCTGGGTCCTCTGTTCTGGTGCTCCGAGCCCGTCCAGCTCACGGAAGCAGAGACCGAGTACTTCGTGCGCTGCGTCAAACACGTCTTCCCGAACCACATCGTCTTCCAGGTGAGGGATCTCCCTCTCTTTTCCCGGGAATGGAAGGGGCTGGGGGGTGGCTGCTGCATTCCAGGGGAACATTTTCAGGGAAGAACCCTCCACGGGGAATGTTTTGTCCTGTGCTCTGCTGCAGTTCGACTGCACCAACACGCTCAACGACCAGCTCCTGGAGAGGGTCACGGTGCAGGTGGAGCCGTCGGACGCCTACGACGTGCTCTGCTGCATCCCAGCTCCCAGCCTGGCCTACAACCAGCCTGGAATGTGCTACACCCTGGTCAGGATCCCCCAGGACGACCCCACTGCAGGTACCCCTTGGAGTTGTGCACCGCAAAATCCCTCAAAGGAAAGGTTTGGAGAACACCCAGGCGTTGGGGTTTGGCATCCCGGGATTCTCACGGGGGTTTTGGGTGGAACCCAGGTGTGTGTGCAAAGGATTTGACGTGGGTTTTAAACATTCAGTGGTGTTGGGTGGTTAAAACTGGGATTTAAAGGAGATTTGAGAGGGTGCAGGTGGTGGAAACTGGAATTGAGTACCTGGAATCAAGGCGAGGAGCACATGAACATTTGGGGATGTTAAAGACCAGAACCAGTCAAAGGAAAATACAAACACTAAAAAATAGTGCAAA